TTCTCTGTAGAACCATGGTACTCAATATCTGGTCCCAGATGCACTGACAAGGAATCATCTGGGTCATCTGTTTAAATAAAGATTGCTGATGACTCAGAAATACAGCATTAAGACTTATAGAGGTGGGACACAGGAACCTGTATTTTTTACAAGCACTACAGATGATCTCACTGTGTAACCGGCTTTGGGAACCTCAACTCCAGAGTTCACTGAGTTCAAGACCCCGAAACAAATGCCAGTATGACATGGTCCAAGCTGACATCTAAGGAACCCAGCCTTGATGGGGTGGGGTGGAGCCATGGCTGATCGTTGTTTGGTTCTATAAATACACGTGACTTATGAACATGGATTTGAACCATGGAGGCCCTCTTATATGTGGCTTTTTCCAATAAATACAGAATAGTACTGTAAATGTATTTTCTCTTATGATTTTCATAATGCCAGTTTTTCTAGCTTACTTTACTGTCAGAACATGGTATATAATACATATAATACACAAAATATGTGTTAATCCACTGTTTATGTTAACTGTAAGGCCTCCTGTCAATAGTAGGCTATGAGTCATTAAGTTTTGGGGGAGTGAAAAGTTATACTTAGATTTTCAGCCGTGTGGCGGATCAGTGTCTCGAACCCCGGTGTTGTTCAAAGGTCAGCTGGTATAGTCACTCCACCACTCAGGCCACACACTCATCTGGGCAAGTGCCAAACAATTGCTCCAGACCTTTCTCTGTTCTCTCTCCCATCTCCCTCCTCTGCTCTTTACTAGATGGATGAAGCAAGGCGTGTGTGGTTCTGTGTCTTGGCTTTCAGTACTAGTTTCACGTCTTGGATTTTGGCACGGCATTTGACCTCCTATGCCCACCCCCCACCAAACTCACTGGCCTTGGCTTCCCACGGGTCTTCACAGACAGCTCTGATCTACGTCCCACCCCACCCCCCACAGCTTCTGATGCAAGACCCTCTCCTAACCCTCCTATGTAGAAACATGCGACTCTTGGGGTGCACTTTAGTTTTTGTTTAGTATGTACCCCAGCCCTGCTAGCTTCTCAAGGACAAGACTTTGCTTATTCAGATTTTCATCATATTTCTATTTAGTTCACAGTGTCTGCAATGCCTAACACAATGTGTTGGGATTGGTACCCAGTCAGCGTTCACTCAATTTTTCTGAGAGCAGAATTCTTTAGTTGGATGTGATAGCTGGCATTAATGAAAATATCACAGGCTTCTAAACAAGATGGACTTGAGTTTGAATCTCAGCTCCACCGTTTCTTAGCCGTGTGACCTTATGTAATATAATTCACCCATATGAACCAAAGGCATCTCATCTAAGAATGAGAAGGGTAGGCTGGGTGTCCAAGGATGCTCTCAGCTCTCTCACATCTGAGGATTCTGAAGTCGCAGATCTTCCCTTGCTGGCTGGTACCCAACTTTGGTGTTCTTGGAAGGCAAATCTTTGCACTCAAGCGGTCCTGCTCAAATCGACAGGCTGCGGCAGACCCACGTGAGCATAAGGGCCCTGGAGGTGCCCTCCAGGAACCCCTCACCCTCACCCCTGTAATCAGCCTGCCCTGTCACCGTAAGCCGGCAGCCCTCCACCACCATTCCCCTTGTAATCACACTGGCTTCTGCCTGTGAATGCTTTTCCCCACTTTTGTTTATCACCAGCAAAGCATTTTTTAATCAAAACAATTAAATATGCTAAATCTTCCTCAATTAGTAATGCATTAACAATTAAAAGTACTCAAACAGAAGTGGCAGGAGAAGCCCCCGGCTCAGTGCTGAGTGTTGGTGCTCGCAGCCTCACAGTGTCCCGCCTCCCAGGCACTCCCAGCTCAGGAGTGATTCAGAGATGCAGGCGCTGGGGCACGGGGTGGGGGTGGTGGGTAGCGGCTCAGAGGGGCCTGGAGAAGGACAAATCCAGCCCCTCTCTCCATAAACAGGAAAACTGCAGCCCAGTGTCACCACAGGAGTTTTCTCAACTCATACAGCGTGCCTGGGCCCAGGATTTGTTTAGTTCTGCTTTTTAAAACCAGAACATGGGTCCACAGTGAAGGTGTACAACACGATGATTGATATACGTATACAAAGGGAAATGATGACTACAGTGAAGCTAGTTAACATATCTTCTCACACAGTTCCCTTTTCTGATGTATATGGGAATCTACATTCTTTACAAGCAGTCAGTACTCCCCGTGATATGATGAACTGTCTTCATCAGGCTACACATCAAATGTCTCTACTTATTCATCTTAGAAAACTGCAACTTTGTCCTGTTTGACCAGCAACTCCCCCCACGGCCCCTCACCTCTGCACCCCTGGCAACCATCTTTCTACTCTTTGCTCCCGTATATTTACTTGGCATTTTTAGAGGCTACATATAAGTGAGATCATGCCATTTTCTCCTCCTTGTGTCTGGTTTACTTCATGCTAGCATGATGTCCTCCAGGTTCATCCATGCTCTCGCAAATGGCAGGATCTCTTTTTTTTTTTAAGGCTGAATAATCATATATATATCATATATAATAACCATGTACACATAATAGTCACATACACACACACACACACACACACACACACACCATAACCTCTTCATCCATCTATCCAAGTGACTGGAATTTGAATTCAGGATTCCTGACTTCTGACATTTTTTTCTGTAAGGAGCCTGTGCCACAGGTCTCCTGGTATATATTTATTCGCTCACTTGTTTCATTCATCAATCACTTATTCTGAAAATGGTTACTGAGCGCCTCCTCCACAGGAGACACTGTGCTGCCATGCTGACAAGAAGGTAGTGAATAAGGCACAAATCTTTGACCTCACAGAGTTTGCAATTTGACGGGGACACATACTAGTAACTTGGTTACTTGATACTTCCTTGAAAATATTAGATCTAATCCATAGCTCAATTAAATAATTGACGAAAATTATTTTTCCCTGTGGTTGCCATAATAATACAGGGCTGGTAATAATTATTGTATAATTGCAGTTAAAAATACTTCACACCAGTCAGAATGGCAAAAATTAACAAGACAGGAAACAACAAGTGTTGGAGAAGATGTGGAGAAAGGAGAACCCTCTTACACTGTTGATGGGAGTGTAAGCTGGTGCAACCACTCCAAAAAACAGTGTGGAGGTTCCTCAAAACATTAAAAATAGAATACCCTATGACCCAGCAATTGCACTACTAGGTATTTACCCCAAAGATACAGATGTAGTGATTCCGAAGGGGTACCTATTCAGAGCAACAATGTCCACAATAGCCAAACTCTGGAAGAAGCCGAGATGTTCTTCAACAGATGAATGGGTAAAGAAGATGTGCTATATAGATACATGGAATATCTTTCATCCATCAGAAATGGTGAATACTTAACCATTTACATTGACATGGATGGAACTGGAGGGTATTATGCTGAGCAAAATAAGTAAATCAGAGAAAGGTGATTATCATATGGTTTCATCCATGTGTAGAATATAAGAAACAGTGCAGAAGACCATAAGAGAAAGGAGGGAAAACCAGATGGGAAGAAATCAGAGAGTGAGACAAACCATGGGAGACTCTGAACTATGGGAAACAAACGGAGTTGCCGAAGGGGAGGTGGGTGGGAGATGCAGTAACTGGGTGATGGGCATTAAGGAGGGCATGTGATGTGATGAGCACTGGGTGTTGTATGCAACCGATGAATTGTTGAACACTGCATCTGAAACTAATGATGTACTATGTGTTCACTAATTGAATTTAAATTTAAAAAAGTAATGATATTTCAAAAAATACAAACCCCAGTTCATAACCTTCAGAAAACCCGAGCTGCAGATAAAGCTGGACTCTGAAGCAATGGTCAGTACCCTGCTCTAGCTGACTTTTCTAGCCTTACTTTGCCAGCCCAGTGAAGGGCTGGAAACCCAGCTCTGTTCATTTACAGAGGGATTGTGACAAAATGACTTTACTGCTTTGGGAATTATGCTCCTCATCTATAAGATTCAGGTTCCTCCAAGGGCCCCCAAATGTAGACAAATATGGGGACAGCTAATGTGGACTCAGTTATTATGGGGCCAGAAGGCAGGCAGACTGCCCATGGAGACCCCGTCGTCTAACAGCACTCTGGCCTTTGTGGGGTACAAAGAGGACCTGGGCAAAAAAGAATTGTGCAAATCTGATTGTTCATGCCTGGACAAAACACATTGGTAGCTCTGAGGAAAGAAGGAAGTATTCTGATCCAAATCTGCTTCATGGAGAACATGATATTTGAACTAGAGCTTGAGTAGACCTTGGAAAAATGGTAAAAAGGGAGAAAGGAAGGGGTACTGTATGCAAAATGGCGGAGTGAAGATGGTGCCGATCACAGGCCAGGTTCTGTGCGAGGAGGATATGGAGATGGATGAGGCAGAACCCCTCCTCAAGGAACCTCAAGGAGAATGTGCAAAGGAAAGGAAACCAACGCTTTTGAGCAACCAGTACGTGCAGTATACATTCCTTCTCATTTCAAGAATTATTTGGGTTTGAACGTCATACAAGAGAACACTGAAATTGGGTTAAAGGACTGGGATCTCAACCTAGATCTCTTGGACTCCAAAATTGAAGCTAGCTATAACTGCTGTGAGGGAGTTGTCCCATAGTCACTGTCTTTTTTTGTTTTTTTGGCAGAGTTATCAAAATAGATTTTATTTCTTTTTAATTGTGTTACATTAGTCACCGCACAGTACATCACTAGTGTTTGACATAATGTTCCATAATTCATTGTTTGCATATAACACATAGTGCCCCATGCAATCCATGCCTTCCTTAATACCCATCAGCAGGCTCACCCATCACCACCCCCACCAAAAAACAAAACAAAACAAAACAAAAACATCAGTTTGATTCCCGGAGTCCATAGTCTCTCATGCTTCATCTCCCATTAGAAGAAGGGAAAAATGAAGGGGGAGAAATAGGAGTGGGAGATGAACCACATTCACGGTCTTAAAGCGTCTCAGCATTTTGTGTCTCTGTCTCCCTGTTGCAGGTCTTACCATCACAGATATCAAGACATGCTTTGGAGGTTTTGTGGGCATTGGATATGACTATTCAGAACGTTTAAACATTGAAGGGAAGTTATCAGGGGACGTCTGTGCAAAATTCGGAGGTGGCGATGGGAGTAAGTATTGAGTACTGGGTCTCCCAAAGAGAAGATAGATTTTTCTCGGACATACACTCAGGGCACGGACATGATTTTCCCCCTCAGCTGATTCCATTTCAGTCAATGGTCGTGCTGTCTAGGTACTAAATACCCCAAACCAGTGACTGATTGTGGCTCTATTTTGAATGCACCGTGGGCTAAGGTCATCTTAGAAAGATGTGATTTTAGAAAGTGCCCCCTTCTAGATTTTGAGCACCAGATAAAGATCTAAGAAAGAACTGGGATAAAAGGAATGTGTTAAAAAAAAAAAAAAAGGAATGTGTACATAGCACCTGGGTAGTTGACTATTGAGATGAAGGCCTCTCAGTTTATAGTCCAGAGGGAGGAGACAAGTCTTCTGAGAGAGAAGAACATAGTTACCAAGATCAAGGAACAATTATTAGAGAAAGACTGCACACAGATATTTTGTGGCATTTCCTGAACAAGTTAGTGTGAGTACTTATGCATGCATTCATTCATCAAATGTACAGGGTATTTTTCTTTTCAGGTGGGAGATACCGAGGGTACAGGGATGATGAAACAGTTTACAATATAGTGGATGAAGTAGACATAAAACAGGTTCAAGTTACTCCCATTGTATTAGACTACTCATGCCCCAGGGCCTTAAGTTAAATGATTTATTCTCCGTGACGTCCTTCCCTCCTCTCTCCATTTACCTGCAAAAATTCATTCACTTTTCTAGACAACTCACCTTTCACCCTGACCACCTTCCTTCCTCTACTGTAAATCTTTCCCCATGCCCCTTCTGAGCCCCACAGAGATACCTGTTGCCGCACCTATGATAATCATTGATTTTTGTTAGCACCAATGATATTTAATTGAGCCTAGTAGACAGGTAGTAAGCACTGGGCATATGAATGAATAAATGCCTGCATGAACGAATCCTCCACATTCCCGTCCTCTCCCTCTGCTATGCTGCTCAGGGCTGGGCTTTCATCCCAGTATCTGCTCTAACTCAGAGGATGGGTCTATTTCTAGGCTCTGGTCCCTCTCTTCTGCTTTATCCTGAGTTAACTGAGCAAGGGAGAGGTGTGGGAGACAGCTCTAAGAGGAGTATAGGAACTCTGTCCCAGATCTCATTAGTGGGGCTTGCCAACCAGTCCTTTGGCTTTTTGGAAAATGAACTAATGCAGTTATCTTCTTTGATGGCAGAAAACAACTTGACAGCCATGGGTGTGGAAGACATCATTTCTCGGGTGCGAGGTGGCAGTTCTGGCTGGGGCGGTGGCTTATCTGAAAACAGTAGCACCATTACATATCGTTCCTGGGGGAGGTCATTAAAGTATAATCCTGTTGTTATTGATTTTGAGGTAAGTCTTTTCGCACTTGAAGAAACCCTACGTCCATGAGGAATGAAAGTGAAGCAGACCAGATCATTTCATATTTCTTATTATGAGCCCATCAAAAAACAAGATTAAATGTAACGGCACAGTGATCTGGTGGCCTTCCCCACGCCTGACTGTAGGGAGTGCGTGACTTCAAACCCCGGGGCCACCGGACCACTGGGAGCAGAAGCTTAATATCTGGGCAGAGCCTAGTTTTACACCAGTAGGCCCAGAATTTCTTCAGGATTAGGCCACATGAAAAAAATAGGAACTTGTATTTATACAGAAAAGACTTTAAAATCACATTTGTTCAAGTAGGGGTTCATAAACTTTTTCTGTAAAGGAGCTGATAGTAAATATTTTTGGCTTTGTGGGCCACATACAATCTCTGTCATACAAATTCCCCTCCTTCTTTTTTACAAACTTTTACAATTGAAATAACCATTCTTAGCTCAAAGGCCATACAAGAATGAACTGTGCTCCCCAGCTGTATTTGCTGTCTTTGCTCTAAGGGATCCCATCTCCTCATCACAATGAACCTCTGGTCCAGATATGAGTCTTCCCATGGAAAGGATTAGGGACCTGAGGCTTTAAGACACCAGTGAGCCATTTATAGTCACAGGGCTCATGTGTAGCTGCCTGGATTTCAGACCTTCAGACCTCACAATCTGTTCTCACACCCCTCTACCCTAGCACCCTCCTTAAAGCCATGGTTCTCAACCATGGGTGGGGGGGACTTCACTCCCCAGGGGAAATATGGCATCATCTGGAGAGGTTCTTGGTTGTCACAGATAAGAAGGTGCTATTGGCATCTACTGTTTAGAGACCAGGGGTGATGCTAAACATCTCTCAACACACAGGACAGCCCCTACAACAAAGAAATATCTGGCCCCAAACATCAATAGTGCTGAAGTTGAAAAACCCTGCCTTAAATCCCTAACTTCACAAAGGCAGTGAGATTGTACTCAAAGTGCAAAGGAAACGGACTCTTCCACCAGTTGTCAAACTATTTCTGTTCATAGGCAAGGGTAGCCCATTAAGGAAAGAATTGTATTTTGGGGCTTTAAAACAAAATATTATTGTTTTCTTGCCCATTTTCTCTTGACTCTTGTCCATTTTCTGAGTATATTTAAAATCCCAGGTATAGATACATTCCTCTTCTTAAAATATATACCAACAGTTGAACCTAAAAGTCTGTAATAATACCCTGCTCTCCATGAAGAAAGAGGTCAGATGGATTAACCCTGATTTCATTTCTTCTCCAATAAGTAAGGGACTATTTTCACACACCTGTAATTCACATAGGGTCTGAAAATTGCTATCATCAAGCTATTAGTCATTTGGGCAAAAAGTGTAAAATTGATATCAGGGGCAATATATAAACTTTCATGGGCAAGAGGTGAATTCTGTGTTTGCCTTGAGCAAAGCCTCCAAGGGGAAGTCTGATATTAATGATTTGGAGAAGCCCAAATATTGTCTTTGGGGAAAAGGACCTACATTTGGGATGAGAAAGACATAATTTGGATCATGGCTCGCCACCTTTTCAGTGTATAACCTTGGACAAGTTACTCTATTTTCTGAGCCCTAGTTCCCTGCTCTACAACATGGGGATAATAAAATGTTACAACACAAGGTTAGGGAAAGAGTAGTGGGTACTTAGTGAGTGCCAATTGAAGAGATACGTTGATGGAAGCTAAGGAAGCTAGACAGATACCATAGCTGGTAAATGGCAGAGCCCAACTTGAGCTGTGTCCAATAGATTCTAATACCCATGGTCTCTTCACATCACAGGCTGGCCCCTGAACAGTTTGGATTTGATGCATTAAGGTGGTGACAGATTACAGAGCAGGAAGGTGACACAGCTTGAGCTGTGTTTTTAAAAAAGGATGCTTACAGATATATGAAGGATTCATTGAAGGGCTGGGGGGAGAGAAAGAGACAGACAGACAGACAATGGGCAAGAAGTCCAGCCAGGGTTATTCGGAACCTGACGCTCAGAGTAGAGACAATGGCTTACTCACTTGCATGTCCCTTTAGCTTAGCAGTACTGGGTTTTGGCAGGTCCTTAGACTGAGTGAATATGGGAATCATGTTATGTTATAATGTTGTGCTATGTTATATATTATTATGTGTTAGGTTATATTGAGTTGCTCATATCATACCACGTGCCTTCTCTGAATCTGTGTTCCTATCTATAAAATGGGAACAAAACCATGGCCAATATCTTTTCAAGCTCTAAGATTCTTTTTCTCCACCCTTCCTCCCTCCTTTAAGTTCCTACCCACCCTTCCTAAGGAATGCTTCCTTCCCACTTCCTTGGTTCTGGGAGTGAGGAGTAAGAGGCAGGGAACTGAGTGCTGAGCCCTACTGGAAGGTCACAGGGAAGTTGCCCAATGGTCCTACCTTCCCTGGAGTTAAGAGTTATCTGTAACGAGGGTCAGAGGGCAGCACATGCTGCACTAACTTCCTAATAATGGGGCCAAATTTTCTGAGCTTCCAGTAAGTGGTCATCTGCCCTTGGCTAGCAGCCCAGCCAGTTCTGAAATGACATGGCTGGCAACCTCTGCTGCAACCTGAGACCACGAGCCAAGGTCACAGGTCTTTCTGTATACATTTCCAGGAACCCACTCAAGGCTAGTGCCATGTGCCCTCTATTGACTCTTAATTCCAGAGAAGAGAGATTGCCCAAGTGTGGCTCAGTCTTATCTCGGAATTACCCTGTGACCTTGGCAAATCACTCCCATCTCTGGGTTTTGGGTTACTGTCCTATAAAAATGAGGAATCAGTAAAGGAGCTTTCACTGTATGACTGTGAGTTAAAATATATAGCCTTAAAAGCATGCCGAAGACAACCCTATGAAGGATTTTGTCTTTACCCCCCCATCATCACATCTAACGAATAAAAATGGTGCTTTACTTTATATTGTTCTTCCCTTCCGCAATGGTTTCTCATTCATTACTTCTTTAGATCCTCATAAGAATTCAAGGAAGTAGGTTATTGTTCCCCTCTTATAGAAAATGAAGCTGAGGTTTAGAGATAGACAAGAAAGACCACATAACTAGAATGGGAGCAGCATTTTTTAAACTTTTACTCTGTGATAGTAAAAGTAAGGCAAGAGGATTGTTCTCATTTTAGAGACAAAGAAGGTAGGCTCCCAGGTAACCAGACAGATCGCATAGCTGGGACTCGAAGGGCTGAGATTTGAAGCCGGATTTTCTGGCTCCAGATTCATGGCTCTCTACCACATTTACTGTTTCCCAATCTGGGATCGATTTTGCCCCACAGGGGACAGGTGGCGATGTCAGGAGACAGTTTCTGTTTTCACAATCGGAAGTTATTACCAGAATCTAGTGGGTAGAGGCCTGGGATATTTCTAAACATCCTACCATGCTTGGGACTGCCCTCCCCCACCATCAAAGAATTATCCAGCCAGCCAGAAATGCAGTCCTGCTGAGGTTGGGAAACCCTGGGTTATAGTCATTCCTGGAACAGGGAGGTGGTGGCCTCAAATGCAAATGACCCCCTCCCCCCACACCTCTCCAAGCTGATACCAATAGGAGAAGTGTTCAGCACTGCCCCCACTGCTACCTATCAATGACTTTAATAATTCTTGCATTGAAGGTTAGCAATCAAGGAAAAAAAAACACATAAATACACATAATCCTTTACCCTCTCTCTGCCTCCTAAAAGTGCGGGAGGGGGGCTGAAGAGTTGGTAGAGATTGCTGCAGAGCTCTCTTCCTCTGGGATTGGGGGACCACAGCTTTCAGAGCTAAGGAGGCTCATGTCCAGAGCAGCTCTTACACTTAATTATGTGATCCTGAGCGAGTCACTCGAACACAACTCAAAGTCTCTGGAGTTAGGTGGCAGTGAGGATCCAATGCAGTGGGGTAGAGCTGAGTGTCTAGTTCGGTGCCTGGCACGTAGCAGGCCTTCCAGAGGCTTGATGGCCAGTGCCTGGGCTCTGGGAAGCTGGAGGCCCAGGGAGAGGCTCTCTGTTCTTTTCGCACCCACAGATGCAGCCCATCCATGAGGTGCTGAGGCACACTACCCTGGGGCCCCTGGAGACCAAACGCCGGAACTTGCAGCTGGCTTTGGACCAGTACCTGATGGAATTCAACGCCTGCCGCTGTGGGCCCTGCTTCAATAACGGGGAGCCCATCCTCCAGGGCACGAGCTGCAAGTGCCTGTGCCCCACGGGTCGCAAGGGCTCTGCCTGTGAGAAAATGGAGCAAAAGGGTAAGGCCCATGCATCCTTGCTCAGTTGCAAACCTGGCCCAGCTCAGGGGGACCAGCACAGAAAAGACTTTGGGGTTCCCAGCCTCTTTTTTCCGTGACCTCTTGCTTTATGGCTGACTCCTCCTCCCCTCTTTAATGGTTCTTCTGCTTTCTTCCTGCTATCAAGACCCTCTCTCAGATGAGATCTGTTGTTTGCCAAGGTGTGTATGGACAGTAGGATTCATTTCTGGAGGGATAGATTAGTTTCCTAGGGTTGCTGTAACAAATTACCACAGATTGTGTGGCTTGAAGCAACAGAAATTTACTGTCTGAAACTTCTGGGAGTTAGAAGTCCAAACTTCAGGTATATTGGCTGCTTTCCTCCAGGGGCTCTGAAGATACTTCTATTCTAGGCTTGTCTCCTAGCTTCTGGTGGTTGTTGGCCATCCCTGGCAGGCCTTGGCTTGTACATGTGCCATCCCAATCTCTGCCCCATCTTCACACGGTGTTCTCCACTATCCATCTGTGTTTTATCTTCTTATAAAAAAGCAGTCATTGGATTAGGACCCACCCTACTCCATCATGACCTCATTTTAAGATGATATAAACTGCAAAGGCCCTATTTCCAAATAAGGTCACATTTACAGGGGATGGGTGTTTGGACTTGAACCTACCTTTGGGGGCACACAATCCAACTCATGACAAGAGTTAAATAGTTGGCATTAAAGTACTCAGAACTATGGCCAAAACTCAAAAGGGCTGGAGCAAGTCGGGTTTCAAAGTACTGTGGTATAGCATGAACTGACTGGTCCCAGGGAGGAAAGCCCTCAAACAAGGAGTAGGAATCCATGTCCTTCACAGATGAACAAGTGTGAGGACTTAGATGTGTGTCCCAACCACTTCACTAACTTCCTGTGAGACACCGGTAAACCATTTCTTTTTTCTGGGGCTCATCTCACTCATTTAAATTTCCTTGGAGCTTCAAGAATCTCTACTCCAAGAATTTAGCTCAAATCCCTAAGCTTTCAATTTTCTGCACATACAAAGCTACCTATGTCGTGCATGGAATGATGACAAAAACACATGGGTTGCCCAACTAATACATAGACCCATCTCCACTGGCAAGTGCAATGAAGATAATGTAAAGGGGGAAAAAAAAGAAAGTCTGGATAGGTATATTTAAGGTACTACTCTTAGGTTCATAAAAGAAACTGTTGATGTCCATAGTAGATGGGGTGGGAGCCTTGTTTTTAAAATGAGGCGATGATGGGTTATAATTTCCTCACTAGGGGCGTAGTTCTCAATGGGAAGCAAGATGGCAGAGCTCTGTTGGCAGATAGGCCTTTGAATACCAATGTTGCCAACTTTCATCCCAGAATTCCCTGAAAAGTGGGGATAGTATCAGCACCTTCCTCACAGGCTGTGTTGATGTGACACTAACACGCATGGCAGGCTCTATTATAATATGTAACAGGAAGAGATCACTCCACCAAGAGAGGGTCTATCTTGGTTTGGTGCCTTGCCTAAAACCCTCCTTTGCTGGTTGAAGGGATTAATTAATTAAATCCCGAAGAGCTGCCTTGTATCTTGTAGGAGGAATTCTGAGAACGGTGAGCCAAGATGGTGAGTGAATCCCAGGGTCCTTATGAAGGAGGATGCAGAGAATAAAAAACAAGTAGGCTCATTACCAGGGCAAAGACTGGCACAGTTTCCTCATGGAAACTGAATAAAGGCACTGCATAATGGATGGGTAAATGGGGAAGAAACAAAGAAACTTCTCAGGGCTGAGAGATACCAGTTCCTGGGTCCTGGGATTTCTTGACTTTTCAGGCAAAGTGTGGGCTGGGTTTCAGCCTTCATTCTCCCCATTGGCCAGGAAGCTTTTCCAGAGGGACCACAGGTCAATGAACAGAAAGAATAACATTCTTATTCTGAGCCAGCACTAACTATCTCAACACTCCCTGTGCATAAACTCATATCTTCCCTCAAAAATGTTATAAGTACCATTAGCCCCAATTCACAGATGAGAAGTTGGGTTAGGAGGAAGGAGACATACTTTGCTCAAAGCCATCCATCTGGTGACTGTCATAGGCAGGATTTGGACCCAGGGGGTTGGACGCATGCCAGGACCCAAGCTCTTATCTTACATTCTACTGATGTACATCATAAGAGTCGGGAAGTTTCAGAGATGGGGGCAGAGGGCCTGAGATGATTGCATTGATTATTATTTTGGAGAGGGGGAAGGGAAGCTATGTCCTAGAACATGGTTATCAGTCTATCCTGACTCAAAGAGTCCTGCCTTACTAATTACAGTTACGGCATGGGCCCGCAGTCCCAGTGACTTGCTTGGATTCCTTGGATCCCTGTCTGAGACCACAGAGATAGAAAGGAATAGGGAATGTGGGTTACCTAGTTATGCCTCTTCAATGGTCCAGTGCTGGGCTCAGTTGTGGCCATGCTGAGTCATATGTACACACAATGGGCCCTGGGGAAGGGGGACATGATGTCAAAGATCTGGGGGGTGATGGCAGGGCACAGAGGATGGGTCCTCCTCCTCACAGCCCATTTCTCCTGCAAGACTACTTTCGGTCAATTGCAGGCAGCACACAGGTATCCCATCAACCTTGTTACAAGCACCGTGTGGACATCAGGTAGCCTCAGGGACACCAGACTGTAGTTCAGCCTGACAAAGATTAATTTGGTAAGGAAATCTAAGACTGGGAAGCCAGCTACCATGGAGACCCACTGACATTGGTCCCTAAGGATTTTCCCTGCAAACCTTTGCTTATGGGGACCAAGTCATGGAAGTGAGAAAAATAGAGACACAGACGTCCGCTGTGGCTGTCCCACCAGGGAGTATAATTACAGAGCTGGAAGGGACCTGAAGATAATCTAATCCAGGGATATTCACACCGGGATCTGAGGAAACCTGCAGTTTTAGGGGCTGCCCCAGGGGAGCAAAGCAAACCTGACAGATACCCCAGCTTCAAATAAAACAGCCCGACTTTCATCTGGCTGCCATATTGGGGCTCGTATGAGATTTCATTTACGGGGCAGGCGGGGGGTGGTGTGGAGGAGAAACAGTAATGAAAAAAATGATGGAAAAACCCCACCAGATTAGTTCAGCCGTTTCATTTACAGAGGTGAAAACTCAGGTTGAGAGAGGGTCTTCCCTAAGGCACAGAGCCAGTAGGAGGCAGCAGCTCCAGGCCAGGGGGGTGCACGAGCTAGATTTCCAGGGCCAACCCATGATCAGTGCCTATGTTCTCATGCTCTACACAGGGCCTCTGTCACCCACTGTGGCCCCACCATCAGAGTTGGAGGGGGACTGCTTTGCCAACACTCACAAAAGCCCAGCAAGCCTCTCTACTGGGCTGTCAGGCTAGCCCTTGTCTGTGAACCCCCGGCCGGGTGCCGGTCCCTGCTCTTCACACCCTCCAGTGGTTCTGTGCCATTCTTCTGGAGGAGCGCGCCTTCCTGGCTCACTCACCTATCTATCTTCCATCAAACCACTCTCAGTGGCCTCTTCTCACTCTATCCAGAGTTTCAAATTAAGTGCAAGGGGACGAGCACAGAGGTCTGGGCTGGCTGCACCAGGCATCTCCCCAAGGAGAGACTGCCGACCACTCCAGGGCAATGGGGTGGGCTGCCCTCCTGATAGTCCCAGCTGCTTCTTGTAGGCTAACCTCCTCCTCCCCTGGGAAATTATCTGTGCAGAAGCCAAGGCAGATGGTCGCTGGAGCTGCTGGAGCTCCTGGTCTGCCTGCAGAGCAGGCACCCAGGAGAGGAGGAGAGAGTGCAACAACCCTGCACCCCAGAATGGAGGTGCTTCGTGTCTGGGAGGTAAAGTGCAGACCCGGGCTTGCTGAAGGCCTCTGCACACCGATGCCGTTGATGTCACCCCCTGCATCGACCGCTGGATAAAGACTTTCTTCAGCTGAGGGAAAATGCAAATCAACATGAACTTTTTCTCTGTTCTGCCAACTCCTGAGCCCAGGACCAGCCCGCACCATCTACAAGCCACTAACCGTCCTATTACTCTAGTCATTAGACAACTGGGTGCTGGGGGTTAACTAGGGGCTGGGTCCTGCTCACAGCACTTCAGATCATCCAGAAAACCAAAACACCAAGGGAGAAATCTCAATCCATGCCTTAGAGGGATTTATGGGACATTAGAGGTATGAGGCCAGCAGGTGTGGTTGAAACCGTCAATGGCCAATAAAACAAAGTATGATGAGAATGTTTCAGTTCTTTGAGTACAATATTTGTTCATTCGTAGAACCATTCCTAGTTGACAGAATAAACAGGAACACTAAAATAATGAGAAAAAAAATGAAGACTGACTTGAGTTTCTTCAATTTTCCTTCACCCGGATTCAACAGTATTTTCCTTTATTCACTCACTTAATCTCTCTTGGTTAAGTTCTTACCACAAATAACAGATTCCCCTCAGTTATCATCTCACGGCACACTACGCTTTTCCTTCATTGCATTTTTTCACACTTAATAATTCTATACTGACTGCCATTATGCCCTGTTACTATTTATGACTTTTCTCCCCTGGGACGGTAATCGTGAGAGATCAGCTTTGTTTGCTGTAGCGCTGTATCTGGAGAGGCCAGCCCTGTGCCTTGAATTGGGAGGGACCTAAAAAGCATCCTTGGATGAAGTGAGGGGCTGAACTCAAGAGTCAGTTCAAACATGTGGTCCAAATGGGTAAACTCCCGAGACTGGAGCATGGATCCAGAAGGGCCAACCAATGCTGATCAGTGTACTTTCCCTGTCACCTGTGGGAAAGCGAGTAGCACCAGCCTGCCTTGGTATCCCCACAGCACTCCAGTCATGCCTCAAATAGAGAACGAGTTGTGTTTCACTGACGTTTCTGTTTACCTCTAAGTTTCTCCTATAGGTTGGGAGCTCCTTGGTGGTGGACTCTGCATTTCCAATAGAGACAAAAAAAAAAAAATCTGTTGATTGATATATATTGGTGTTCCCTGTCTTCCCAGAATCCTGTCTTTTTATGGTAATCATAAGACATAAAGATATGAAACAACGAGAAGGGGTTTTAGGGACACAGGGAATTAATTGCTGAGTTAATGCCAAAGTAAGTGTCAAAGGAGGCCAGGTGGGAGAGAGTTTTACTTTCCTCGTGTGTGTGCATTTTATATATGGAATGGGGCTTGATCTGGACCTTGAAGGTTTTTAAACTAGGCAAAGAAGGAGGAGGCCTTTAAGACAGAAATTCAGCATGTAACAAAATTTGGAAGTGAGAAAGAACCTTGGAGGGGGGACGTGCAGGTGCACGTGTTAGGAATGGAGAGTGGGGAAGAAGGTGAAAGTAAATATGTCATATAAAACAGCACAGTGCCTGTGGCACGTGGAATTATTAGCATCACCCTTATTATTACTATTGTAACTATTATTAATTAAAACCTAGTTTGTAAGTTTCATTCCTGAACTCATTAGATCTTCCATCTGAAAGAAGAAGACTCCTTTACTCCTTCTCATTCTGTCATTAATTTGCTTTTTCTTTAAAAGTTAATTAACATATGTAATTAATTTCCATTCATTATTCACTAGGGAGTGGTAGTTACATGCTAGTAACTGGAGGAGGTCGAGTGCGCAATTTACAGAGGACATTCAAGCTCGGTCTTTATGAAAGCAGTAGTTCTCAAACTCATCTGCACGGTTGAATTGGGCGGGGAGTTTTATTTATTTATTTATTTTATTTTTTTAAGATTTTATTTATTTGAGACAGCCCAATCCCAGGACCCTGAGATCATGACCTGAGCCGAAGGCAGAGGCTTAACCCACTGAGCCACCAAGGTTCCCCTGGGCGGGGAGTTTTAAAAAACCTTGATGTCCAGAGGCTGTACCCCAGACCCATGAAGTCCAAATGTCTGAAGGTACAAGCCAGATATTGGGAGCTTTAAAGCTGTTATCAACTATACTTCAATAAAACAAGAAGAAGGGATGCCTGGGTAGCTCAGCTGGTTAAGCTGCTGCCTTTGGCGTGGGTCATGATTCCAGAGTCCTGGGAGCAAGTCCCACATCGGGCTCCTTGCTCAGCGGGAAGTCTGCTTCTCCCTCTGCCTGGCACTCTGCCTGCTTGTGCTCTTTCTCTCTATGGCTGATAAATAAATAAATAAATAAATAAATAAATAAATAAATAAATAAATTCTTTAAAAATAAATAAATAAAACCAGAAGAAAGCAGCCAAAGCAGAGAACCCTTGAGCCCGGGGAGTCATCACGTGTTCATGGGAACAAGCGTGTGACAAAACAAAAGGGCAGGGGCAAGGAAGGTCTTTCAGGGATAAAGCTAGTCATCTAGGTGGGAGATGAGAATTTTGGGGTTAAGCAACTGCTCGGATCACCTGTAAGCCCCAACCACCACCCGAGCTGTGCCGTTGTCTTCCTGTCGCCAGAGCCAGGGAAACAGCGCCAGCATCTGCCCCGCTCCTCCAACGATGCTGCCTCCCCAGCAGTTTCAGAAATCACAATACAGTGGCAGGGACAGTTTCAGAAGCAGCAACCCTTCTCCAGATCAGTGCCCTTACTTCTTCGAGAATGCCTGGCTCTTGCCAAGCAAAGGCATAAAGCTCGTCAAACATATTCTCCCTCAGATCCTTTCAGGAGACCTATAATCTAAGGCTTTGTAGGTAGTGGGTGTAAAAACACGGTTTAGGGCGCCTGGGTGGCTCAGTGGGTTAAGCCGCTGCCTTTGGCTCAGGTCATGATCTCAGGTTCCTGGGATCGAGTCCCGCATCGGGCTCTCTGCTCAGCAGGGTGCCTGCTTCCCTCTCTCTCTCTCTCTCTGCCTGCCTCTCTGTCTACTTGTGATCTCTCTCTGTCAAATAAATAAATAAAATCTAAAAAAAAAAAAAACAACACGGTGTAGAGATATAATCTTCAGCTTGACAAGGTGTCTTTCGGAAAGTAAATTAACGACAGAAGGGAAAGCAATAAGGAGAGGCTTTTTTGTTTTTTTTCTTCTTTGAGATAGAGGAAGATCTAAAGAGTTCACTCAATGAATCTCTTTTGAACTCTATTTGCCTTTAGGGTGAAGAGAATGGACACAGAGAAAGGGCAGGCTTCAAAAACCGCACTGCAGAAATGAGAGATGGCAGAACGAAGCTCTTGGGGGTCGTGACAGGAAGGGGCTGTGATGCTGATTAGCGGAAGGACACCTCTCTTCCACAAAGGCAATGGGGACTGCTTCCCCTTCACTTGGGAAATGGGCAAAGCCCCTTGGGGAGCTCCTGTGCCAGGTGCCAGAGACACAGAGATGAGTCAGATGTGGTTCTGACCCTATGAGAATGTGGGGCTGGGGATGGCAAGAGGTCCCATGCCAGCAGGAACCCTGGAGGGTGGCTACCCCAGCTTGGGGAGCAGGGAGAACAGTCCAGAAGAGGAGAGGATGGACTGGCGTCTAGGAAATGAATGGGAGTTAGACAAAGAAGGAAAGGCAGAGAAGGGGCAGGACACCACAGAGGAAACAGCATGGAGTCAGGTGGTGTGGGTGGTGATTCACTGCTCAGCTCCTGGGTTTGAGTGCTGGTCCTTCTCAGGCTGGGAACTGCTGAGTTCAGACCTTTGGTTTGGTCCCCGAGATGTTCCTAAGGGTAGCTGGTGCTTGGAACTAGGGAAACTTCTGTAGATGCCACCTTCCTGCTCACCTCAGGTGCTCCTGGTGGTTCAACACCCCACAGCCATTGTTTGAAAACCCAAGGTTTTTAATTGGATTCACAAGGTTCTCTAGAATTGGATGCCAATGTGCCACTCCAACTTCAGCTTCTTTTTTAGGTTCTATGAGGCACTCGTACTAAAAATCTATTGCCCTTGCAGGATGTACAAAGCCCTGTGTGTCTACCTTTGGCTCTCCGACTTCCATTTCCTTTTGTTCTTTCCTTCCCTCAATTGTGTTGCTCTAGCCATGAAAGGCTGTTTGTGGTTCCTCACACATGTCAAGCCTCAGGACCTTTGCATCTACAGACCCCTCCGCCTGAAATGTTCATCTTCTACATGAGCTCATCCAAGACTCACACTCTGGTTTCAATCAAGTCTCTGCTCAAATATTACCCCTCCAAAGGCCTTACTCCCACTTAGTTTTCTTGTATGGCACTTAGCACTGAGTTTATAGATTCGTTTATTCTTCTATTTTTCTAGGTGTGCCTCCCCCTGTTAATATGCAAACTTTTTCATGGCTAGATCCCCAGTGCCTTATAGAGGGTCAAAAAATATTTGTTGAATGAGCGATTTCCAGTTTAGTTCCTCAAATAGGTCAGGCTTTTTGTCCCCGCCAGGCCTTTGCACATACTGCCCAGAAGGGCCCTGCCTGCCAGTTCCCTCTTCTCTTAGCTCTTTGCCAGTAATCTTTAGGCGAGAGGTTAGGTGTCAACCTTGACCCCTCCGGTTAGCCCATACTTTGTCAGGTGCCACTCCTTCATATGGCTCTGTATTCCAGCACTTTCTAGTCTATCACCGTAGCTTACTTGTCTGTCTCCCACACCTAGTGACTTTTGCAGAGCAGACAGAAACTTGTCCTCATGTTTGGAGCCCCAGTACCTAGTAGAACACCCAGCACATAGGAGCTTCCTGATAAAAGTTTGTTGGCTGCTGTTCTCTCTCTGGGTCCCTCCCTCCGTGCTAGAAACAAAGTGTCTGAAGCGGCCTTAGCATGCAGGGTCAGGGATTTGTGAGAGAGAACCCCACGGAAGATATTTTCACAGAACTTCCCAATCCTGCAGTCTTCCTGGTGCATCAGAGGACAGCCCACCCCCTTCCAAGAGGCTGTATAAACTTAGGAGAGAGAGAGACCACCTCTTCCACATTTGTGAAGGAAAGCCCATCAAATCGAGTTAAAAAATT